GTATTACATTGCTAAATGAATGGTGAATGTTATGGTAATATTTATCTAACAAAGACAGAAATACACTGGTCCAAGAATGAAGGTACTCAAACAAACACCATAATGTCATCTTAGCAAGATTTGATACAAGGTCAAGAGAAAACACAAAGATAAACACAAGTGATATCTAAGAATGACTGTTAGCAAATCTTGTTCTGACTTTAATCATTCTATCTGCAGATGAACAGAATGTCATGAAAACCTAGGTCATTAAAGGATGTCATGAATTATTTGCTTAAACATAACCRTATTAATTCCACCACAGTACAAATAGGCGGTGCTTTGTACCAGCACCTGTTTAGGCAGCTCCACATGGCTACCACAGGAGATTCAAGGGTTTCTCTAACGTGCATAAATGAGTCAAAGCAACACTCTGGATATGGTTTTGATGAGGGGGTGACATTATAACATAAAATAAAGCTCAAGAAACCTAATTTTGCATAAACACCCTCCCGTTTATATTTCATAACTATTTTGGTAACTCAMAAACATGGGAAAAGACATTATCACTCATCTTTCGCCTTTTGACAGTGAGAGATAATGAAAGCAGTGTGTGCTGAATGACACAAAAAAAATGCTTTTAGGCAGCAGGACAAAGCTCGTTTGACCCTAAATGCTAATGACATTATAGGAGCAGAGCATGTTGACCCACAGGGGATTTTCACACTATTGAACCTAAGCTGAACTCTCAGCTGTGCTCTCTGTGCCTGTTTACCTATTCTACTTTGCCCCCGGTGCTGCTAAGAGTTAAAGGGCATTAGGCCTTTGCTCTGTAATATGAATGTCATCTCCACACCAGCACAGTAATTACTGTTCTATACAGTTTTCTGTCAGTTCTAAGTGCCGCCCCAGGGGCAAAGAACGATTTGTAAAGGGGCAGTTAGGCTTTTCTGCAGAAGAGGATAACCCCCTGCTGTAACCTATCACACAGCTGTTCTGAATCACTGTCTTCAAGCACTTCTTCTTTGCCGCTCAACATTCATTCAGACATGAACTGCTTCCTTTCGTTTCCCACTCAGCCTGAAACAATTAGAACCCGAGAAAAAGGTTTTGTACCTTTGAAAGCTTTTCGAACGAAAAGAAAGGTGAATGAATGGTGGTAATTACGAATCTCTTTAGAGAATAAAGTCAGCCTACCTCATATTCACTAACGCAGTTTGCACTGGTGTAGTCAATGATGCACCTCCCGAGCCACTCGTCAGGCCTGGAGCTCAGGATGTCATTCCTGCAGTTTTCCAGGAAGGGCTGAAGTCGTAAGAGCAAGCTGCGTGACAGGAGGTACCCAAACCCCCCGTAGCAGTACTTCCCCTCCATCTCTCCGCCTATGAACTCCTCAGGGCGGCCCATGTAAAGCTCTCGATCCGCGCTCAGGTGCTCCACCAGCGCCTTGATCCTGTCCGCTTCTGTGTAGGCGTCGTCCTGGACCAAGTAGAACCAGTCGTATTCGTTGATGTAATGATCAAAGATGAACTTGACGGTCTGAAACATGTTCCAGATCAGCCGCTCGTCTCCGTGGGAAACCACAAACATGCCGTGAGGGACTTTGCGGTTGCGCGAGCCGGTGAAGAAGGCCACAGCGTCGAAGTGATGGCTTATGGTGCGATTCACAGCCACGCCCAGGGTGTTGATGGAGTTTTTGGATGTCAGAACCCCAACGAAGAGGCGCTCTCGCATCCCCAACTCTGTGCTTATGTATTTAGCCCTGAAAAACATGTCAGATCAAACAACTACTGAATACATGCTGCTTTTTTTACTAAACGAAAGGACAGTGTCACCGTTTTACAACCATGTGAGAATGTCTGTTTATATATATA